AGAAAGTCAAAACAATTGAACTTGATGTTCAAACGGATTCAATGTTGTTTCCATATGTTTGCGATGCGTTCTCAAATGTTGCGTAACTCCAATTTTATTTTTAAACATTTTTCCACACAGTGGACAGGGATAATTGCGAACATCGGCATGTGTAGATTCATGTATTTCCGAGTGTCTCTTGGTCTTGAATGCTTTGCCACATATGCTGCAGGAGTAGTTGCGTACATTGGAATGACTGGTCATGTGTCTGGTCAAGTGGGATTTCTCGTAAAATCCCTTTGAGCAGATATCACAAAAGAATTTATATTTCTTCTGATGGCGTCGACTGTGCTCAGTTAGAGAATACCGCTTCGAAAACGAAGCCCCGCACACTTCACAAAAGTACGGTTTGACGCCGGTATGGGTGCGCATATGCATTCGGAGATCGGCGAGTCTTATGAATCTCTTTCCACATTCCTTGCATTCATCCTGTAAATCGTTCATATGACGTCGGGCATGAGTGACATATGGATGAATTTGCTCATATTCTTTGCTGCATATTGGGCATTTGAGGGGATCATTGCGATGATGGGTTTGATAGATGTGTACCTTTAAACACAACGGACTTTTAAATTTACGGTCACAAAATTCACATAAAAATGGTCCAACGTGATCCTTAAGAAACTTCATATCATAATAATATAATAAATCAACTACTTTGTTCTCTTTGTCATCGAGCACTTGTGCTTTCTCTTTGGTAAAATGCGAATGTAAACTCTGCAGATATTTCTTCAGGGAATTTTCTTTGATTGTCAGGCCCATTTCTCGCCGTACAACACTTGCCATTTGTTCCAGGGCCTCTTGGCGTTTATTAAAACAAACATTCTCTACCAAATTAGTATTCCATAAATTGGGAAACCTCTTGTATATGTTGATTATGTGTAGAATTTGTTCATGTTTCAAATGTTTTCGTTGTGAATCAAAGCTGGCAATTGATAAATGTTCCATGCTGGGTTCCAGAAAAGCGAGCGCCTCAAAATACCACTTAGGGACAATATTTTTTTCGATTGCATCTTGTCGGTCTTCAGGTGTTTTGAAGCGATTTAATCTAATGCGAAAATGTTGACGTATACGGACTATTGTGAGACCGACCAACATTGTGTCCAGTTCTATATTAAGGACACTTTTTATTTCCTTCGCGATATCCTTAAGGTGAGAATTTCGTTCATCATTGTTAAGTCTTTTTGGAAAAAGTTTCGGATCCCATAATTGTGGTACCTTCTGGTACGCTACGAGGAAAGCCTTCCAATTTTTGTCAGATTCCAGGAACTTGCTGACAACGGCTCTGGCTTTTTTAGTTTCCTCTTTTGTTGTTGTGTAAGTTTGTTCATCGTGAGTACTATAGCTATCAGCAGTATCGCTATCTGATGTTTCGTGGTTTATGCTATCACTAGCTGCAATATTGTGATTTTTATTTCTGTAATCTGGATTATCACGATCTGCGATTTCATTATCTAATGGGTCCTGCAACAATCGAAGAAAAATTGTTTGCTGTATTTTTGAGGGAATGTAGACTTTTTATTTGCTATTTAAACTAATTTCCAAAACGAAATTTACTGGGCTTATGCAAATTTTTCTTTAATCATGAATATGAGTTATATAATTTTGGTACTAAACGAAAAGTACCAAGCAGCTTAATAAAATTATACTTGTATAATTGCTTCCAAAAGTGGTGTTTAATTACTTCCCAGCAAAAAAAAATATTTTATTCAATTTTTGTAACAACGCTATCGAAAGTTATGCAATAGAACAAAAATTAAAATTGAAGTAGTCTCCACTGAGTTTCTTAGCAGTCTGTGTAGAATCATAAATATAGACCACATCGCCGAATTTAATTTTTTCACAGATAACTTTTTCGACAATTTATTTAAATGAAACTTATTAATAACACAATACAAAAAAATAATAAAATTTGATGTATGCAAACATTTAAGTTAAGTCATATTGTCAATTGTACCGATAGCTAATTTCCGAAAACACTACAGGGTTAGATGAAAAAACTGCAACCAACTTCAGACTGATGTCATTTCTAAGTCTCTCCTCCGACAGCTGTTAAAATTATTCCAGTGACAGCTCATTACATTGTTTACAAGCGTGCAAAATCTTTTTGATGAGAATTTTCCAGAAAAAAAGTTATTCGTGATGAAATTCAAGCGTGATAGTGTGATTTCTTTATATTTGGCTGGAAAAAACACAAGTGGCTATCGTTAGAGCACTACAGCATTTAAATGTGAATAAATCTTTTGTGTCTCGTACCATTGCTCGTTACCGTGGTACTGGTAGCGTAGCCCGACGTCAAGGAACTGGACGGAAGAAACAGCAATATCAGAAGAAATGGTTCGAAAAGTAAAGAAGCGAATTCATCGAAACCCGCGTCGCAGTGGCCGGAAAATGGCTCGTGAGGTGAACATATCGCAATATTCCATTCGGCAAATATTGTAAAATGAGTTCAGGGTAAATTCCAAAAAGTGCAAGAACTTACACCGCAACGGAAAGAAAATAGACTCAAAAGAGCTAAAGAGTTGCTTCGCTTGAACGAAAGTGGTGAACAGCCGAATTTGCTTTTATTCGTCTCCGATGAGAAAACATTCGTTGTCCAGCAGTTTGTAAACAAACAAAATGATCGTGTTTACTTGCCAATAGGTCAGCAAAAGGTTAATGTGCACATTCGGTTGGCCATCAGAACTCAAGCGCCGGCCATGGTGATGGTGTGAGCCGCCATAACAGCCGATGGTCACTCTCTGCTCGTATTAATCGACCGTGGCATCAGAATAAATGCCAAATATTATCGAGAAAATATTCTGGAGGGTGAATTAAAGCCTTGGGCACGCAAACATTTTGGCCGCAGAAATTGGACATTCCAACAGGACTCAGCACGCGCCACCCAAGAATTGTTACAAAATGAGGTTCCTCGCTTCATTTCCAGAGCACAATGGCCACAAAAATCTCCGAATACCATTCCGTTGGACTATTGTATCTGGAGTACTTTTGAAAACAAGGTTGGCACTAAAAAATACCAAAGTGTCGATCACCTCAAGACAGTGCTTCAGCCGGAATGGGCCAAAATACCGCAGAGCAACTTTCGGGCAGCGTGTGACGGTTTCATTGTCCGTTTGAAGCCCATAATTCGTGCCAAAGGTGACCAATTCGAACAAATCTAAACTAATTCTAAAATGTTATGCTATTTCCGACATTTTTTGCTTCATTCAATAAAATGTAAAAAATATGACGTTTGACTTTGTTGCAATTTTTTTATCTCATCCTGTATTTAATCAGTAGTATTTACTTGAAAAATTTAGTGCCTCAGAAATTTGCCCATGATTGAACTAGTTTAATTCATTACTGAATTCGATAAAAAATAATAATAGTAATATACCTATGGAGCTTTAATTGTTTCAGAAATGTACATATATTTTAATTACATACATATATCTGATTCTTGATTAATTTTGCATCGTTATGCTATTGTGATTCGTAGACTAATCTTGTTTAAGCTTACCCCAGCCTCTTTACTCCTTATTATCCTGTAATTTAGACTACCCATTAATTCTGTTAGATCAATTGCTTTATTGGTACAACATTCCAAGTCATTTACAACGTGGTTTTTAATTTAATTTAATTTAATTAAATAAGAGGGCTACTAGTTGATGTATTCTCATTGATTCGATGTGTTCTCAAATGTTGTTTTACTCCAACATCGTTCTTGAACATTTTTCCACACAGTGGACACGGATGATGTCGGCCCTCCACGTGTGTAGTTTCATGTATTCTAGTGGTTTTTCTACATTTAAAAGCTTTGCCACATATGCTACAGCGGTATTTGCGCTCATTTGTGTGAGTAGGAATGTGGCACTCCATTTCATGTTTCGTAGGAAATCCTTTCAAACAAATCTCACAATAATGTCTGTATTCTTTTTTGTGTCGTCGTATGTGCGACTGAAGTGCCGAAGATAGCGTAAATGCGGCGCCGCAAATTTCACAGCAATACGGTTTCACACCGGTATGGGTACGCATGTGTAATCTAAGATCTGCAGCCCTAATAAATCGTTTGCCACATTCTTTACATTCATCCGGTAAGTCACTCATATGTCGCCTGACATGAGCAACGTACGGTTCTGTTTTTTCATATATCTTAGCACAAATCAGACATTTTAGGGGGTCTTTTTGATGGTGACTCTGGTAAATGTGTACTTTTTGAGCCAATGGACTTCTGTGTCTTCGACCACAAAATTTGCATATAAATGGTCCAACATGATCATTTAGGAAGAGCATACGATCAAAAAATGCCGAATTGGGTTTGCCTCTCTTTCCTTGATTTATAATATTAGACTTTTCGTTGTAAAAATGGGCATGAATTGTTTCCAAGTAATTTTTCAAGGAACATACTTTAATTTTTAACCCCATTTCGATGCGCAGAGTCTTTTTCATTCGTTGAATGGCTTCCTGTCGCTTATTGGCACAAACATTTTCGGGCAGATTAGTATTCCACAAATGTGGAAATTTTTTGTATATATCGATCATTTGTAAGATTTGTTCTCGCTTTAAATGTCTACGATTTACAGATTTGACATCAGTGCCCTCGTTCACAATCGATTCCAAAAAGGATAATGAATTAAAATACCACAATGGAACTCTATTAGACTCTGCAGCAGCCTCTCGTTGCTCAGCATTTTTGAAACGTTTTATATTGTCAATATAAGTCCTTCGTATTTGGTGTATTAGAAGATCGACTTGATTTGAATTTAGTTCAATCTTTTGTGTATTTTTTATTTCCAAAGCAATCCTCTCTAGACATTCATTTCGCTCAGCATCATTTAACACGTTTGGAAATTCTTTAGTATTCCATAGTCGAGGTTCATTCTGGTAAGCTTCTATGACAGCCTTGTAATTACTATCAGACTTGAGAAATTCACAAATAAATGACTTCGCATTGCTTCCTTCGCCTATACGCTGAAAGAGAGTTGACGAATGCAAAGCGGTAACATTATTTTCTCAGATATTAAGGTCGTGTTTACAAGTTTTCCTACTTAATTTTTGAGGAAAATATTAGACAGAAAAATATTGCTATTTGTACGATCTAAATCACAGTTTAATCAAATCCTCCGTTATGACTTTTTGTTGCTTTCTTCAAAGTGATTTAATGATACAGGAAAAGCATTACAGTTTTATATCAATACTAATACATGTATAAATTCAATTCATTATAGTTAAATAAACGGAGATGTTGATGAAGTCTCATTGGTTCGATGTGTTCTCAAATGTTGTTTTACTCCAACATCGTTCTTGAACATTTTTCCACACAAGGGACAAGGGTGATGACGGCCCTTAGAATGTGTAGTTTCATGGATTTTGAGGGTTTTTCTATTTTTAAAAGCTTTACCACATATGCTACAGCGATATTTGCGCTCATTTGAGTGAGCAGACATGTGTTCTTTCAGTGAGTGTTTCGTAGTAAATCCTTTCAAACAGATCTCACAATGATGGGTGTATTCATTTTTATGTCTTCGTATGTGCGACAGAAGTCCCGAAGATATAGTAAATGCAGCGCCACAAATTTCACAGCAATACGGTTTCACACCGGTATGGGTACGCATGTGTAATCTAAGATCTGCAGCCCTAATAAATCGTTTGCCACATTCCTTGCATTCATCTGGTAAGTCACTCATATGTCGCCTAACATGAGCAATGTACGGTTCAATTTTTTCATATATCTTAGCACAAATTGCACATTTAAGGGGATCATTTTGATGATGGTTCTGGTAAATGTGCACTTTGAGAGACAAAGGGTTTTTATATTTTACGCCACAAAATGTACAGTCAATTGGTCCAACATGACCGTTTAGAAACATCAAATGTTTGTAATATATTGATTTTGTTTTACGTCTCCTTCGTCGATCTTTAAAACCTAATTTTTCATTACGAAAATGAACATGAATCGTTTCTAAGTACTTTTTCAACGAGCATTCCTTTATTATCAAACCCATTTCAATGCGTACCGTCTCTTGCATTTGTTGAATAGCTTCCTGTCGCTTATTGGAACATACATTTTCTGCCAAGTTCGTGTTCCACAAATAAGGAAATCTCTTGTATATAGCGATCATTTTTAAAATTTGTTCCCGCTTTAGATGCCTACGATTTGAAGATTTGACATCGGGGCCATCACCCAGAAGGGATTCCAAAAAGTATAATGCATTGAAATACCACAAAGGAACACGATTACATCTTGCAGCAGCCACTCGTTGCTCAGCATTTTTGAAACGTTTTAAATTTTCCATATAAGTCGATCGTATATGGCGTATAATAAGATCAACTTCATGTGAATTTAGTTCAATATGTTGTGATTTCTTCATTTCCAACGCAATTCTCTCTAGACATGCATTTCGGTCAGCATCGCTCAACGCGCTTGGAAATTCTTTGAGATTCCACAGTTGTGGTTCTTTTTGGTATGCTTCTATGAAAGCTTTGTAATTACTATCAGACTTGAGAAATTCACAAATAAACGACTTCGAATTACTTTGTACGCCTATTAGCTGAAAGAGATTTGACGAATGCAAAGCGGTAACATAATTAGGTCGTATTGAGGAGAGGAAATTTTTATCAACATATAAAGTGTGCTGTAGTTTTTCTATTGTTTTGACCAAAAATGTGGTTCAATAAAATTTTGTAGGCTTAAAAATTTGGAATGAAGGAATATCTTTGGCAGTTGTGTTAGCAATATTATTGTTCTAATCTAGTAAAACATATATTATCAAAATTGATAAAATATAGCAAAAGTTACATATTTCCTGAAATTCTAGTTAAGTGCTGTTAAACTGTTGGAAGTTCAAAAACAAATAGTCCAAATAATGTGCTCAATAATTACACAGAACTTTTTATACCCTACAACACTATGTGTTGGGGGTATTATAAGTTTGATTGGGCCAAAAATTATGTAACACCTCGAAATATTGATTTCCCACATAGGAAAGTATATATGGATCTTCCTATCTCGCAGAGTTGAGTCGATCTAGCTATGTATGTCCGTCCGTCCGTCTGTCCGTCTGTCCATGTTAATTTGTAATCACTCTACAGGTCGCAATTATGGCCCGATCATCACGAAATTTAGAATGGAGGTAGGGCTAGGGTCAGAATAGAACCCTATTTCTTTTGGAGATGATCGCATAATATTTAGGGGTCGAAATGGACCAAAAACTGAAAAAATGTCGGATTTTGCAGTAGCTATACAGGTCGCAATTATAGACCAATCGACGCATGTAGCTAGAGTTTAGGGCGGGGAAGAAGCCTACCAATTTGGGTGGTCATCGGATAATATTTAGCGGGTAAAATAGACCCTATCTTTTGTGTTGAAAAAATTCAAAATTTTTCATTAAACCGCGAATATTTTAAATCGCGGCGAAATCACAAAGCCATGACAAGGTTACTCCTGATCTTTACATTGATTTTAACATCCAACAAAACGGATATATAGCAAAATATGTGCGATATATATGTCTATCAAAGAAGATATGCTTGAAAAATCTCTTATATGTCGAGAACGGTTGAACTGATTTCGACAGTTCTCATTAATTCAGAATGGCCTCTTGGCAGGAAAGAAACGACGTCTAAAAAAATCGCATAAAAATATCTCTCTATAGATGAAAATATTGATTTTGTAACATTTTCTCATATTTTTTCAATTTTGTCATATTTTTGGCATATTTTCATTTTGAATTAAACATTTGGTAATATTTCTACAGCTAACAAAACTAAGTAGTTAGGATATCAGGATATCATATACAGATCGCATTTATGGCCCGATCCTAACGAAATTTTGCATGGGGATCAGATGAGGGTCAGGATAGAAGCCTACTCTTTTTGGGGATAATCGCCATATATTTAAGGGTTGAAATGGACCAAAAAAACTGCAAAATTGTCAGCAGGTCGTAATTATTGCTCGATCCTCACGCACATTTGAATGGGGGTTACGGGCATTGCAAAAAGCCAAGCAGTTTCCAAAAATATTCAATGTGTGAAATAGTTTGCCAACTTTTGTAGACAAAATACGAAAATGTCCATTCCAGTGACTTTTTGGAGAATTCACAAATACAGGAAAGACACACTTCTGACTATGTCGTTAACGCTGATTTCGTTGAAGAATATAGTCAAATGTCTGTATCTCATATAGATGCGTTTTGGTCAAAAACCAATAATAAATGTTAATCTTTTGCTACTTCTGAGAGATTATAGGTGTTTGGGAAATATTGGTTCCAGTTCTAGGAAGACCATTTACGTGCAACATCTTCCAATAAATTGGAAATGAGCAACTTAGTTTAAGTTGCTATTATTCGAAAATTAGAGAACGAAACCTGATGGTTTTCTTTTATTATTTGTCACAATATCTTGTGGAAATCTTCCGAGTATCTCGCCTATATAAACTGTATCGTTTATTATAGTGTTGTAGGGTATTCAACGGTCGGCCCCGCTCGACTGTAGCCTTTGCTTACTTGTTAATATTCGTCGTGTGGTGATTGAAAACAAAAATGCTATTTTAAGATACTATATACATTTTGACTCACTAATTGTATTTTCTTGGAGTTAATAATTTCTATACATATTTTTTTGACATGTATTAATCTATAAGTTAGGGGAAGAGGTCAAAACCAAATTCAAAATTTTCTCGGCAGAAGTTGTTTTCACTCAATTGCCGAGTGTTATAACCAAATCAAATTAAATGTTTTTGGTGAGAATGTTTACTTTGTCATTAGATTAAAGTTGTATAAAACTGAAAATGTCACCGGCACTTGGTTGTTGTATAAAGCGATCGTCTCCAGCGCTGATGACAACTGGTGAAATTTTTCTGAACCCCCGGGACATTGAAGATCCACTCTGGATCTTTGTAACAAAATTGTTGCATGCGCATACGATTTTATTCGCCACAAATTTTCAATTTATGTATGAATTGACATTGAATAATAACAATTCCTTACTATCGAATTAGGCTCCTGATGTCTTTCATGATGACATCTCTTTGTACTACATGGCTTACCTTCATAGTTTCCTATTAATCTACAACTCATGTTACTAGATTTCAATTAAATCGATCAATTTTATTTGAGGGATAATCAATTTAATATAAATATACATGTCATTTATCCCCATCAGTACGATGTTTTTTCAAATGTTGTTTTACTCCAATTTTATTCTTATATCTCTTTCCACATTTCGGACATGAATAATTCCGCTCCTCTGTATGTGAGAGTTCGTGTGTTTTTAAAGTTTTTCTAACTTTAAAAGATTTGCCGCATGTGCTACAGCTGTAGTTGCGTTCATTTGAATGGGTCGCCATGTGGGACCTCAATTCATCTTTCGTAAAGAATCCTTTGGAACAAATCTGACAATATGTTGTATATGCTTTTTTGTGACGCCGTATGTGGGACAGAAGTGACCAGGACGCCGTAAATGAAGCACCACACAATTCGCAGCAATACGGCCTTTCGCCATTATGGGTACGCATATGTTTTCGAAGTTCAGGAAGTCTTATAAATCTTTTTCCACACACTTTGCATTCATCCGGTAAGTCATTCATATGTCGCCTTGCATGAGCAACATACGGAATCAACTTTTCGTATTTCTTACCGCATATTGGGCATGTTAGAGGGTCATTTTTATGATGATGCTGATAGATGTGGGCTTTTAAATAGAGCGGACTTTTATGCTTTCGCTCACAATATGAACAGTTAAATGGGCCAACGTGATCAATTAGAAACACCATATGATTATAATATATTGAGTTTTGTTTGGTTACTTTTCCTTGATTGTAATTAATAATGCATTTTTCTTTATATAGACGGGCATGAATATTTTCCAAGTATCTTTTCAACGAACTTTCTTTGATTTTCAAGCCCACTTCATTGCGCACTACCTCTGTCATTTGCTGAAGCGCTTCCTGCCGTTTATTAGAGGATACATATTCCGCTAAATTGGTATTCCACAATTGTGGGAATTCCTTGTATATCTCGAGAATTTGTATAATATTTTCTTTCTTTAAATGTGTTCTATGTGAATGGGATTTGAAGGCAGTGACGGTATTCAAAAAAGGTTCGATAAACGACAATGCACTGAAATACCACAAAGGAACACTATTACACTCTGCTGCAGCTAATCGTTGCCCAGCGGACTTGAAGCGTTTTACATTTTTTAAATAGGATATTCGCATATGACGTATTATCATATCGACTTGGTTAGTACTTAATTCAATGTTTTGGGTATTTTTAATGTCCAACGTAATCCTTTCTAGGCACAAAGTTCGATCATCATTGTTTAACACTTTTGGGAATTGCTTGTGATTCCAAAGTCGAGGTTCATTTTTATATGCTCTTATTAAAGCTTTGTAATTACTTTCAGACTTTAGAAACTCACAAATAAATGATTCCGATTCACTATGTTCGCCTATCAACTGAAAAAGAGATTGGCGAATGCAAAACGGTAACATTATTCTGTGATAATTATGTTGATACAACTTTCGTTATGGCGGTCAAATTTATGACAGAACAAATATCAACGGTTGATTTAAAAAAAATGAAACTAATGAATTTCTTACGTTACAATATTACTGTTGAGAAAACATTTATCTTTAATAGGCATATGTTCCATCGCAATAATACTACGATTATTTTAAGTCATCCACAACAAATATGCCTATGCACCGCTTAACTAACGGCTAAACACATAGTGGTCTTTGGCGGCTTTCATTTTTCATTGCCAAGTAGTACAAATATCAAGAGGCCCTTCTCGAAAAAAACTGCTTATTGTGTCCTAAAACTTTTTTAGGTTTTATACCTATTATCTCAACTATTGTCCTAATAAATAAATTGTGAATCGTAGCATCAAAGGCGCAAATTACTTGCATGTTAATCTGTTGATAAATTATTAATTAATTATTAACAATATTTTTTTTAATGTTCACTGTATTTTTAACAACTTAAAACCATATACTAATTATGTTAGTGTAACTTAACAAGAGTAGTACTTCCTAGATTATTTGAATTTAAATTAAAAATGGGGTTAGCGATAAAAAATGACTTGAAAATTTTCATTTGAAGCTATGTTGTTATAAAGAAAAAACAATCTATGGTAAATTAACTGGCAGAGAAACGCTCTGAATCCATCTGAGGGCCATAATTCTGTTAATCTACCAATAAGCTTCTATGTAGACAGAACTCAAAGGAGGGTGGACGTAGATGATGCATTAGGCCTGCATGAAGAACTTACAAGTCAAATTTTTCGACCAGAATTAAAATGAAAGTCAAAGGCAAAATTTACATTACATCTTTATCTTTAAACAGTGCCGTAGACTACTAAAGACAAGAGAAGGATGAAGAAGTACTGGAGACGATAATATATACATTGTAGATGACTCAAACTTCATAGCATCAACTATTTGCAAGGTCCGATGAAGATACACTAACCATCTTATCGTATTCAAATAGAGGACGTGCGAGGAAACAGTTATGGAGGCGCTTGATTTATTAAAAGCTTTTGATGCATACTATACTGTTCGAGGACATCGTGCACACCGCCATCCAGCCAGGTTTTAAACGTTGGATCATCAAGTACATGAGTGGACGTCAGTCGTACTTGCAATTCGGAAATAAGAAGTTGAATATCCATTGATTGAAGCGGGGGGTTCGTTAAGGAGTGATGATATCTCCGAAACTGTTTAACTTCTACCTTTCTGGCATTTTACCTCCTCCAGGCGGCATTGAGTTCATAGAGTACGCGAATGATGCGATATATAAACCATTACCTAGTTTATCTTAACGCTTTTTTCATTGCAAGGAATACGAAAATATCTGCCAAAAAATCGAAGACCACACTTTCGTAGCTGGATGGTGTTTTAACTCCGACCACAATTACCACTTTAAGTCGTCGGCACATACCACAACTATCTGCCACAAGATTAGAAGTAGGAACAAAATTCTCAAGTCTCTGGCCGACAGTATCTCTTATTATGATCTCTTACAGTGAGGTAGGTCGCCTGTGGTAAACTATGCGGCTCCGATGTGGTGCTACGTTATGGCATTCAGTGCTGTCAGAACCGCAACATGACAAGGCGAAGGTCTGCAGCAGAATAAAATGCCGTCAATGCAATTCTTGCTTGGGTGTTATAAACCCAAGCATCCCAATTAAAATCTAGTATATAGGAAACCTCCGCGCAAGCAATTAAGGCTTTCGATAGAGGTACATTGGTATAAGAGAGTGCCTCTGAATTAACAGGCCTATCAAACAAGACGGAATAGTATGCACTCTACGGTCACACGGTCACAGCAGTTAAAGCAGAATATTGAGTGAATACCATACTTGGAGAACATCCGCCTCCCATTGCAGCTGAAGAAAAAGAGGTGCTGCGGCTATCCAGAGTAGTTTTGAGACAGCTGAGATCTGGATGTTGCATCAGTCTCAATTCATATTGGGCTTGAATTGACAGCAGTGCGCAGAACACCTGTCTCAGTGTGGTGCAGTGCCACGTGACACACTGCACCTCTTCAACTGCCCAGCCTAACAACAACAAATCACCGATTATACTGTTTTCCAAAAGAGATGCCAACAGTAAACTGCATAATTTCCCCTTCAATGGGAAGGGGAGGCATAAATGCCTCTCACAGATTGTTACGGTACTCAATGGACATTGGGATGCTTCCGAATGTAGTTGATTTCCATTTAGCGGTGGCACACCATCAATACCATGCAAAGTTGCTTAGGGCCATCTGCAACAAAATGATCAACGCAACAAGTGCGGTAGAAAAACTCAATAAAAGCAGAGAATGTTTCCCTTATGATGTCGAATAGGTATGTAATATATAATAAGAAATACCTCTTTACATTTGTATAAGTTCTTCAACTACTAGTGGCTATTAAATTTGCAAGACCTTCATCCGCGAACTCGATTTGTTATTTGTAATTACATATTCTTAAAGTTTGTTGTGCAGCTCTAACATGGAAAGAATATTTCCAATACATAGAGTGTTCCTAATTAACTTTTCCAAGCAAGAATTAAAATATATACTCACTTCGTCATCATTGTTAGATGTTTCAATCCTATCAAAATCTTGGGATCCTTCATCGTCGTATTCCTCTTGGCTATCGTCGGCGTCCTGCAATAGTTCGTCGTCATCGTCAGCTTTGTCGTTTTCCTCGTCATACATCTCAATTTCAGCATCTTCATCAACTTCATTATCATCAATTTCATTATCACCAATTTCATTATCATCATCACCACTTCCATCCTCTCCCTCACTGTCTTTAAAGTTGTGAACTTCTTCCTCCCCAAAATCCTCGTCGATATTATCTTGACTTTCATTGACCAACGCATATTCAGCTTCATAATTTTCTTCATTTTCATCCTTGACTTCTTCAACATCATTTTCTTCATGGATGTCACGATCTTCCTGGCATTCATCTGCATACTGTATATCCACTTCACGTTGATATTGGGCGTTACTCGTGTCGGGAGAATGCATTGTCATCTTAAATTTATCATTATGACAGTACTGATAATGCATTATAAACTCTTCCAACATCGTAAAATATTCATCGCATTCCAGGCATTTCAAGAAGAATTGCTCCTTCGCATTGACGGAAATTGGAGCCAGTATTTCCCCGCACACAAGGTACTCCAATTTAACAACGTCATCCATAATGGGAGTATTGTATTTCGTGCTGTTCCCAGATATATTATTAGATTAAATTCCTTCATAAACCAATTCTATGTACAGTATTATTTAATTTTGTATTATTTCAGATAATCAGCGTATTTACTATCCAATATATATATAAGGTCCAACCAATGTCCAATGCGTGTATGTCACTGAAGCTCTATTCGCTTTGCTTGTGAAGTGCGTGTGGGAAACAAAAATGAAAGACGTCCCCAACGAAACAAATACGAAATCAAAAAGGAATGCCTGATAAAAAGAACGAGAAAGCAAAATCCCCGAGGAACCTCTGTTGTTTACGAATGAGACATGAGGAAATTGAACCGCTGGACACATTCATTAAATGAACCGCGGGAGTAAGTTCCTTCAACTCGAGGAAGAAATCGGTCGGCTTTAGGTCGTCATTTTGAACTCGTTAAGAATATTAAACTGAGTACAATTAAAAAAACAACTAAAACAACTTTTAAATTCATTCACTTTTATTTTCATTGTTGAGAGAACTCCTATACTACTCCTATACTGATTACTCTAAACTATTCATAACAGCCTTAATCTTAAAAATCTAATAGTACGTTTATATATGAGGGTTAACCCACTAGATTTGGATTTAAACTGTCATATCCATTACTTTTACTTCAAATAAATCCTCTCAAAGTAGGTTAACCCTACAAAAAATTCTAACGTAAACATGGCATAATTTTGGAACTGCAATTTTTAAATGAAAAATTATTCAAATTTGTAAAAATTATTTTTATTTGGTAGTTTCTAAGATACGGACCTTGCGAATTTCGGTATTACGGACGTACAAAAAATTTTACCATAGTGGGAAAATTGAATATTTTATATTTTTATAAAAGTTAAATATCGTATACACAAACAATATGAAAACCATGGTACAATAAGAAGGTAGAAAAGCTTCGCAAAGTATAAAAATACAGCCCTAATGCATTATCCACGTCCTGCCAGAATTATTCAAATTCAGATGCAACAATTTGTTTTCATTTATTTCACATTTTTCTTCATTTTTAAAATGAGTAAGAAAGCGCAAAAGATGACTGAAATACTTGGATGTTCTTTCAAAAATATGATCCAAACTGCTCAATCATTCAAGTCTATGCCAAAACTGATAAATATATTTAATACACACCCTGCAATGTACGCGTCAGAAAATATTTTGTTTTTATTTTTCAATGTAATCAATAACATACACAAAATTGGCAGAAGTCGGGCACACTTGGAAATTTTAGAAAATTTTAATCATACCTTACATTTTCATTGTACTATGATTGTGACAACAATTTCTCATAAGACAGAGAACATAAAAATTGTGTTCGTAGACACAAATAACAGTTGCGAAAAGGAATATAGACAATTGTATATGTAAAAATAATAAATACAATTATAGTATGCCAACAACATATACATATTTTTATTTCCTCAATTCCAGCACGAAAAAAATCATCAACTGCACAACTGCGGGCACTAGTTGGATATATGGAGGACAATCTCTGAGTTCGCCAGAGGAATGCCAACTTTTGGAAGCAGCAAGCAATCCCTTGAAGACCACAGAAAAAAAATATGTTTCAATTTAAATACCATGGGTCCTCCTTCTCGCACAATTGAGAGTGGAAAAAGGTAAGTCAGAAAACTCGGTTTAATCTATTTGTCTAACCGGCATTATTATTTACATTTACATTACGTTTAAATCAGTCATTCTGGCGCTTTTTTTGCTTAAATTCGCGAAAGAAAGAAGGAATGTTAGTGGAACACATTCTGATACGAAAGTGAGTGACTAGCTTTTGTTCGCACAAATTTTCTTTCTATGTCGTGGAAAAGGCTGTTAAAAATATTTTTTTCTAACTTAATTCATCGGCTAAATTCTTCGTAAAAGAACAAAAGCGCGTAGCGTGAACCAGTAAGGCTGGAAATACTGCGTGTAGTGTTGTTCGTTAAATAACGAAACGAAAGTTTATGTTACGTTACTTCGCTCTTAAGGTGGGAATACATAAAGAGCTTATCTGGCTGGCTTAAGTCATCGGCTGGCTTCTTCGTAGATGAACAAAGGAGTTTTAGGTTGACTTAGGTCGATTTTGGCCCTAGGCTCCTTTGTTCATTTCCGAAGAAGTCAGCCGATGACTTAAGCCAGCCAGATAAGCTCTTTATGTATTCCCACCTTAAGAGCGAAGTAACGTAACATAAACTTTCGTTTCGTTATTTAACGAACAACACTACAATGTTTTCCTATTTCTTTTGAGTAAATCCACTTATCAGGCATGTCACAGGAACAAATTCGTTACGAAAGTGATTTTAATTTCGTATTTAGCTTGTTTTAAAAAGTGAAACTGTATTTTTATGGAAACATTTGACTTTAAAACACTCTCAACTCACTTTTAAGTAATGACAATGTTGTCTTAATGACAAATACACAATTGAATTTTCATTTTTTTATATTTTTATTTGAAATATCAAATTTTAATGGTTTTTCAATTGACGAAGCCAATGGTTAACAAAGTATTACCACATCATTTTTTTCTTCAAAATAACTTTTTTCTTCAAACAAAAATTTGAAAAAACCAAACAATGTGGTATTACGAATAATAAATTAATGCAAAGAGAAAAAACAAAACAAAAAGAATGCTCAAAAAAGAACTTTGTACAAAAATGTAATTATCATAAAATATGTGAAATATGTATTGTGGAATGTGGTTTAATAAATTAATCATTATTTGATATTTTAGATTCTATGGAGAGCCACTAAGACCTAGCGTGGAGCTATGTCAAAAGTGATCGAGTGGTTGCCGAAAGAAGTTGGTCACAACTTGCCGAAAAACTAAATTCCTCGGAACCTCTTACCAAAGATTGCAATGAGTGGAAAAATACATAGTCATACTGGTCAGTATACGTTAAAAAATTGTGTCACAATAAAAAAGAAAATGCAAAAACTGGTGGTGGTTCTTTCAACAAATATGTGCTCAGTGTGCTTGGAATCAATTGCAATGCTTCTTTTTGCACTATAAAACACTTCGAACAGAATATTTACACTTCTACAATGTTTCTAATCATCGGTTTTGTTTTGATTCCTCATTCATTCGTTCTTTTATTCCCCTAATGTTACCATATAATGTTGCCATATTTACACTGAAATCGTAGTTCACTAAATCGTAAGAAAACTAAAGAATCTAAAACAAAAATGAACGATTTTGAAATACGAAATTCAAACCATTTCGATACGATTTTGTGACATGTCTGTATGTTTGTCCCATGTTTGTATCTATACTGAATAGTACAAGTTTTTTCTTAAAATGTCAATTATAGCGTCACAAAATTTTTAAAATGTATTTTGCAAAAATAAGTAGTTTTTTATATGTGTTCTTATACGACGCCAATCTAAGGGTGCAAGTACATAAAAAGCTTGAAGTCATGGCTAGGCATACTAATGTCAAATTATAATGGAAAACGACGGCAGGATTTAGTGCGGCTCTGTAATCTGTTTGTGAAATGTCACAAAATATGCCTAGCCATGACTTCAAGCTTCTTATGTACTTAGCCCTTAAGGGTGCAAGTACATAAAAGGCTTGAAGTCAAGGCTAGGCATATTAATGTCAAGTTATAATGGATAACGACGGCAGGATTTTAGCGCGGCTCTGTACTCCCCTTATGAAATGTTACAAAATATGCCTAGCCATGACTTCAAGCTTCTTATGTACTTGCAGCTTAAGGTTCAACAATTTTAACTAATTTGGATATTTTTTTATTCAAAATTTTCAATTTCAAAATTGATTTCACAGTTCATTGTCCCCGCAACTGTGTCGATGCGACAACCACAATTCTTTTACCATGAGCTTGACTTAATTTCTTACTAGAAAAGTTAAGAGTCACACCTAATGTGAGATTATAAGGAACATTGACGCCAGAATTTGAGTGTGACTCTGTAGTCTCTTCATTATTACCAGATAACAGCAAGACGGCGAAGCCAATCTCTTTATCTCCCATTACTATTATTGGTCATAAGAATGGTTTTCTAGTAACTTTTTATATAAACAGTTCATTGCTGCAAGGACAAAAAATAGTACATTGTAATAGCTTTTTTTGTCAACAGTGCCGCCTATGTTTTCGCTGCATCGCCGCCATCGAAAAATCACTCGGCCTTGTTATTTAGTCACCACATAAACAAAGAATTGTTTTCAATTGACCCATGTTCCAAGTCCCCTTCCAGTTCAGCTGATTACCACACGAACTGTCAATTAAATTTGAATTCGCTGCAACCAAAACAAACTTCAAGAAGGTAGTCACATCGCATAGCTGCTTGGACAATGAACTGTCAAACCAAGTTTTAAATTGAAATTATTAAATGAAAAATTATTAAAATTAAAAAAAAAACTGAAAAATTAATATCAACAATCTACGATTGGTGTTATATAAGAAGATTTATAAAATGTACTTATTAAAAAAAATTAAAAAATTTTTACATATCTTCATTGATATGTCAACAAAATGTTAAAATGTTTTTTTTTTAATAATTACTTTTTTAAGTTTACTTATACGACACCAATGTATTTTTCAACAGTTTTTAAAAATATCAACATTTTTTCATTCAACATTTTTAATTTCAAAGTCAGTTTGTCAGTTCATTGTCCCAGCATTTGCGTCGATGCGTCTACCTGTATTTTTCTACCATGTGTTACATACAAAAAATTGACAGCCAACTGTCAAGGCGAAAATTTTTATTTTCGCCTCAAGCATTAATTTTGACATTTCATCTGGTAAAATAAAAGCTGCTTTTAGATTAATTCGCTCGAAGGAAGACCTTATAATTGGGCCATGGAATTTTGTTTTCAATTGACTATTTAGATCCAAATATAAATTTTGTTTTTTGAAAATGGATAGTAAATACGCCGATTATCTGATCTGTGGAGAGATTTTTAAGTCGCCTGCTCACTCCAACAAAACCCCCTATATTTTAAAGTGTCATCAGTGTTCCGATATATTTCTACTTTTGGAATCATTCATTTTTCACATTGAGGACTATTGTAAGCCAATCGTGAAGGCCGAATCAACAATACCAAAGAACGTGAAGGCTGAGAAGCTATTGCCGCAAAACAGCTTTACCATTCTTGATGTAAATAGTTTCTAGAGTAATGTCCTAGACTATAACTACAAATCTATTATTTTCAGGATACAGCGGTTGTTGTGAAAAATGAACCCATAATAGATGTTGAATTTGAGGCCACCTCAATGATGAGAAAA